TTTAAACTATTCATTTGTCCATTAATTTTACATTTATGTATCTTAATTTACAGTCGTGCGAAATATATAAATTTAAAATAATTATTCAAGGACTATAATTGGTATCGTTCTAAGCAATTTTTCATTGTTCTCAGCAAAATCAAACAAAAAATTCAATTGTCAAATATTTGATCAATCGAATATCAAATAGCTGACTTTAAATTAAAATTATGTATCAGTATAATTTGATTTAAAGTCGCTATTTGATATTCGATTGATCAAATATTTGACAATCAAATTTTTAATTGTTCATAAAGCTTTTTTCATTTATTATCCTTTTTTTACTTTTGCTTCCTTTATTATTGCTTTATTATTCAGTCCTTTACTCGCTTTTGTAGGATTGCTGACGTCGTTGTTTTTTTTCTTGTTCTAGTAGAAAAATTTCGGCATTTGAAGTTGCAATTGTTGTTCTTTTTTGAGGGGTTATTTCCTCATACATAATATCCACCAGATTCTGCGCTTCCTTAAAGGAGTCCAAGGCTACAATATTGCAAAGATGATTCATTAGGGTATATTGATTGTTAGGTTCTTGCACTAGTAAATGTTCAGGTTGAGCTAGATTCTAGAGAAATTTTGAATTTTCCTGCAGTGTTTGCAGGCTTCTTGATGTAGACATCAAGAAATTTCGAAATTCTTGTTCATAGATAGCAGCAACGTTTAAACTGGCAATATTGACTGTACTAGGTGTAGGTTTTTTTGGCTCAAGTGTATTGCCAAAAATTTGCTGCTCAATATGATTAAGAGCCTCTCTGGATGAAGTAGATCCGAGGTCAATATAATCATCATTATTTTTTTTTTTGTCATCGTCATCAATGTCCTCTTCACTTTCATTGTCTATCTCATCACTATTATTGCCACTGTCTTCCATTAAACTTGTTGATTCGTTGGCATTTTGAATCTTTCTTGCTTCTTGATAAGTCAAAAAAACCATTTCAGGTAAATAAGCATGTTGTTCTTGTTCACGAAGTTCTTCAATATACAGGGCCGCAGCACGGAGATGCTTACAGATTATTCCATTCTTAAGAAAGTCAAGACATTGGCAGTGAATGTCTTTTGGCTGTCCATATACACAAGTAGTATAAACAAGGTTTGTAGTTTCAGATTCAACTTGAACATAGATTTTTCCTGTTATTTTTTCAATCTTATAATTTACTATTTTTTTTATTTGTAGTAGCCTTTTTGCAAATTCATCTCTATTTGGACTCAGAGATAGGTATGCAACTTGAGAGAACTCTTGTATAAGAGTCTTATAGTCTAAAGGATCCATTATATTTAATTCCTTTCTTCTTTCTGCTTTTTTGTATTCAAGATCTATAGCAAGCTTTCATAGTGTTAAAATATTAGATATAACTTCATATACAAAAACAATGTATAGTATATCTGCTTTTAGAAGGTGATTACTTCTTTGAAATTGGCCTAATTGATTGTTTTTCAAATAATAATTCATTTCTTCAAGGTGATTATTTGTTGTAAGAAGTTTTGTAAGGGGAATTCTAAGAGCATTTATAGCTCTTGTTTGCCCATTAAGGTACCAACTATATAGAAGGTCACCAGCCCATTGTTTTTTAGATAATTTAAAAACTTAACTTCACTATTTAAGAGATTCTTTAAATCTTTTGAAATATTTTCTACTTTATAAAGACTTTCTTTTTTTCTTTGATAAAATCTCTCATTATTTTTTCCTCACTGTCTATTTCCCAAGTTTCTTTTAACACACTCTATAGATATGTCTTCAGATTTTGACATTGTAAAACTATATTACTTTTACCACCTCAACCTAATCATTTACTGATTTCATTCTTCCAATATAGGCTAATATGGAAGTAACAGAGAAGCAGAATGATTCCTGGCCATACTATTGCTAATAGTTTTTGCTCTTTTATATTAGTATCAGTCATTGCGACAAGAGGAGTAAATGTAAATGAAGTAGTATTTGGATTTGTTATAAGTTGGTTGCGATTATAAATGTCACTAATTTTATCTCTAAATATTGTAAAAAGATATTCTAGGATCCTACTATCATATCCAGATGAAATAAGCTGATTATTTGAAGGTGGTGTAAAAAAAATGAAGGCAATAGGAATGTTTTTATTATTTTTATCAATAACCATTATAATAAATAAGAGTAATTTATGCTTGCTAATTCCAAAGGTTCCATTAACAAGAATAAGGTTTTAGTGTCTATACCTCTACACATATTCTTGTTGTTCACGATTACAAATAATAATTTCTAGACGATCTGTTTCTTTGGTATGTGGTTGATAATGCAAGCATGTATCTTTAAGTTCTAACTAATCTGCACTTTGTTCAAGAAATTGATCTAGATTTTTTGCAGAATTTTTGTTAATATTAATATTCTAATTTTTTCTAAGCATTTTTTTTTAATATTTACAATATCTATCGTGGTAAATAATGTCCTGGAATTTCTAATTAAAGTATATTTTCTGAATACATTCTTTACAGTTTTAGTATTAAGCGCAAGAATATTTGTAGTGCTTATATTGAGATTAAGTAAATTTTTGGTAATTGATCTTACATATAGCAAGAGTCTATAAGGTGGGTTATTCTGTGATTGAGATGTTTTATATAATTCTGAATACTCTAAATATCCAGAAATTCCACAAATATCACTATTATGAATATTAATTATCACAAGTGCAAGACATTCTATGTAAGGGTAATGTGTAGCTAAAGCACGAGAATTGGATATATTGGTCTTTTCATGATAGCTTCTACAAATATATTGTTTAACAACTATTGTCGGATTTGATTGTCAAATAGCTCACTTATATCATATATCATCTAAACTGATATCAAGAGTATGTTTATGAAAAAATTGGTCATGATGTACTATTTGTTCTTTATCAAACAGATTCTATTGAGTTTCAACTACTCCAGATATACTATTATCTAACAAACTTTTAAGCTTATTTCTATCCTCATCCTTTAACAAGAGTTTTGAATTTAGCTTTGCTTTTACACGTAGATTATAACTATCTCTTTTATTTGCATTAGTGTTAAACTTTGAAGATAATATATTACAAAGAGTTGGAGATACTAGAACTAGGAAAGCAACTATGATGATAAGAATAAAAATGAAGATACTAGTATGATGATATTAGGTATACACAATAGGAAATATATTTCTTTATACTTTTATTTTTATTTTTATTTTTTTTTTTAATATTAAGATGATCACTTAGGCTTTTGGCACTTTATTAGTACAAGCAGTTAGGCTATATATCCAAAGACTTGACCACATGTTATATCAGTATTACAAGAGTACAACTAGCCACATGTACATCTTTTGGTTATCTAATTTAAGTAGTCCACCCGAAGGTTCTACACTAGCTGCCATATCTATAGCCTAACTAGGAAGCTATCTATTTAAACTCTTTGATACAACCTCTGTCCCATGCTTTCTCCTAATAGACTCTTTCGGGATAATTTACCGTTAAAGACTCTTAGACTTTAGCCAAACCAACACTCATTCTTTTCAAAACAGAGGGGGCATTTATCCTTGTAGTAAACCTAACATAATGGTACATGTCCTACACATGTGCTTACTTGCATGTTCAGTAACATTTTCCTTAACTAGTACATGCTGTGCTACCGTCACCTGGTTCATATCTCAAGCTATCT